AGTCACTTGTGAAAGGTCTTTGTCAAGCCATGCTCAAAAGGTCATCAGTGACTTTTCTTGGCAAAATGTGATCTTTCTCTATGCCTATTTTTTTTAAGTTTATTTGTTTTTTTTAGTTAACTCTACACCCAATGTGGGGCTCGAACTCACAGCGCCTGACATCAAGAGTTGCATGCTCTTTCAACGCGGCCAGCCAGGCGCCCTATGCTTATTTTTTTTTTTTCTAATTTTTGTATGATTGGTCATAGTTTCTTTTTAAATTATCTTGCTGTACTAAGAATGTTAAAAGTGGTTTTTGTTCTGATTTTTAAGTCTTTCTAAATATATTTCTTTTTTGTAGGACTTAGTGGGCTATGGGTTAGGGACATCCTTAATAACAGATTCCTGCCTCAGAAATACAAAAGAATGGTGTGGGGCCCAAACTGTACCCTCTCTGAGAAAAGATTAGGAAAGAATACTCCAAACAGGAGTTAGATAGATATTAAGAACTTCCTGGCATGATGAAGAAAAGATTATAATTTCTTAAATTCTAGGCATTGCCTCTCATTTTTCTTCAATGTAGTGTTTTTCAGAGTGATGTTAATAGGTGTACTTTGAGGAGAGGTTTCCTTGACTAAATAGTTTGGGAAATGTTGGGCTGTTGCAGGATTTCTCAGAGTCTCTAATATAAGGATATAGTAATACACGTTGTGAATCCTCAAGGTAGATACGGTGTTTCCCTAACCCAGAGTCCTTTTTTTTTTAAAGATTTTATTTATTTATATGAGAGAGAGAGAGAGCATGAGCGGGGGGAGGGTCAGAGGGAGAAGCAGACTCCCCGCTGAGCAGGGAGCCTGATGCGGAACTCGATCCCGGGACTACAGGATCATGACCTGAGCCGAAGGCAGTCGCCCAACCAACTGAGCCACCCAGGCGCCCTAACCCAGAGTTCTTTTACACAGAACATTTTATTTTTTTAAAGATTTTATTTATTTGTCAGAGAGAGAGAGAAAGCGAGCACAAGCAGGGGGAGCGGCAAGCAGAGGGAGAAGTAGGCTCCCCACTGAGCAGGGAGCCTGATGCGGGGCTCGATCCCAGGACCCCGAGATCATGACCTGAGCTGAAGGCAGACGCTTAACCAACTGAGCTACCCAGGTGTCCCTACACAGAGCATTTTAGAAACTGGTAGGTATGTAGGTAGGTGGAGCACTTTAGGAAACAATACTTCAAAAAAAAAAAAAAGTATTTTTTTAAGTAAGCAATTCCTTAAATTTTAGGAATATATTTGAGAATCTCTTACGGTTTTTTCTTTTTTTCTTTTTTTTAAGATTTTATTTATTTATTTTTGAGAGAGAGAGAACAAATGGGGGGAGGGACAGAGGGAGAAGCAGGCTCCCCGCTGAGCAGGGAGCCCGATGTGGGACTCCATCCCAGGACCCTGGGATCATGACCTGAGCCGAAGGCAGACGCTTAACTGACTGAGCCACCCAGGTGTCCTCACGGTTTTTCCTTTCATGTGATTCTCCATGTCCCTTTTGCTGCTGCTCCCAGGTATGATTTCATCAGATTTCCCCTTTAAAACTCTTAATGTTTTAGGAAAAGATCCAGTAGCCCTTGAGAGTCCCTTGACTTCTGTCCCCTCAGTCAAAATTAAGAGGTTGATCTTCTTCCTGACTTCTAGCCCCTTGTCACACGTTTACTCAGATCACACAGGACCTTCAACACTTGTTTTAAGCACAAAACCTCCCAGTTAGAATCAGTAGAGAAACTGGAAGAAAGGTAAAGGCGCAAATGGATGAAACTTCTTAATTTCGGATTTTTTAGATATGAAAGGCTATGGGAAAGCAAATGTTAATGAAGCAAATATGAGGTGAAATTTAAGACCAATTTGATAGAATAGATGGGTAGACTGAAAGAGAATTACAAGTCAAAGAGAAGATACAGTTAGTTGTACAGCAGACGATCATTAGTGGCAAAGAAAATTAGTGAGAAAGTGGGGGGGCAGGTACGTGAAAGACGCTGCAGAGGGGCGCCTGGGTGGCTCAGTCGTTAAGCGTCTGCCTTCCACCCAGGTCATGATCCCAGGGTCCTGGGATCGAGTCCCGCATCGGGCTCCCTGCTCAGCGGGGAGTCTGCGTCTCCCTCTGCTCCCCCTGCTCATGTTCTCTCTCTCTCAAATAAATAAAATCTTAAAAAAAAAAAGCTGCAGGGGTCAGCCACACTGTGGTCAACATACTGGCCATTTTAGTCTATAAATAACTGTAGCCACAGGACCGGGAAAAGAACAGACAGGTGGTCTGATAACAACAGTCTCAGTTGTTAATAATACAGTTAATGTCCAGAACGGCTTTAACTTGTCCCAGAGGTTACAGCTCCTCGGTGGTTTGCTCAAGGACCCTGTTCTCTTAACTCTGTGGTCAGTGCTCTTTCTGCTGCACTAGGCCTCCCGACATAATTGAAAAGAGTTTTACTGACACACTGTGCAGTTTCTGCCCTGAAAGTACTCTGTTTGCACACGGCTACCTCCCCCGTCTTCTATCCACCCACGTCAGTGACCCTCTCCACCCAAACCAGTATTTTACTGCTGGGTTCAGAAAACAAGGTGGAGATAGCTTTACACACAGTAACAGTACTGATCACTGGCAGCAAACAGCTGTGGTTGCATAGACCCTTCCCCCGCCTCCATGCAGTACTCCAGGACTGCACTGCTGTACTCAGTGGCAGGAGTGAGCCCAGCCGCTGCGGTGGACAAGCTTGTATGATGTATCCCACCTTGTTAGACAAGGAGAGGCGTCGGGTCCTGCCCCAAGCTACCAGCAAATACTGGCTCTGGTGTCCGCAAAGTAGCTTCCCAGTCCTTAAGCTCTGTCCCCTTTTTTTCTGGAGAAGTTGACATCAACCAGGATGATTTACTTGTGGAAATCCAGGCATTGATTTAGCTTAGCTGTTTGTCAAGCACTAGATGTAATAATAGATGTAAATAAAAGTAAGATAGAGGAGCGCCTGGGTGGCTCAGTCAGTTAAGCGTCGACTCTTGGTTCCAGCTCAGGTCATGATCTTGGAGTTGTGGGATTGAGCCCTGCGTAGGGCTCTGTGCTCAGCGGGGGTCTGCTAGAGATTCTCTCCCTCTCTCTCTGCCCCTCCCACTTGTTCTCACTCTCTCTCTCTAAAGTGAATAAATAGAATTTTTTTAAAAAGTCAGTAAGATGTCTCACTTTCAAGGTCCATGCTGTCCATCTCCTGGGTACAGACTATGCTGCTGTAATACGGAGAGACCGCCCAAATACGGCTCCTTAAGGAAAACAGGACTTTGTTGCTCCTCCAGTAGCAGAGCGAACGATTCCACGCTGTCCGGGTGGCTCTGCCTCGGGATCAGCTTCCAGGATTCTTCAGAATTTGCCGTTTCCCAGCAAGCAGGAAGGAGGAGGAGGAAACCATTTCTGAAGAATCTGACCAGCCCAAAAGGAGAAACTTAAGATACCAATATGAGAGTCCCTCAGCGAAGTGATCCAGCCTGATTTTCTGGCAGTGGGGC